GACACTACAGATGTTGGGCAAGATTATTACATAGTCGATAAATATCCATCGGTCAGCACATCGATTACGAATTTCCAAGATGGAAAGCTTAGTACAGGACTTTTTTGTTGCTGGTCCACAGGGTTGCATCGACCATGTGCCCGCCATTATTCTATTACGTCATTTAAGTGAACCGCCCTATGGTGCGTAAATTGACATTTTTGATTGGTCGGGCGATTGACTTCGTGTTACATTTTCATTATACCGGATTCGGTAAAAAACACAGAGTTAAGCGGTCATGTACCTTCTATAAATCTAACCTTGCAACACAATCTTGTCCTGATGTGTTTTTTGTCCAAGAAAGCCGTTCTCTTTCATTTAACCCCCAGTTAACTCTTTGCGTCCATGGTATTTGTGAGAGTTAAAAGATTTTTCGAACAAATGACAAGTAAATATATTGATTTGCATCAAGCTGGGTGGCCCGAATTTAAATATCAGTGCATAAACCAAACGCGTGGTTATTAGAGTTCAGTCAAAATGTACGTGAATAATGCGATCAAAGTCCGCTGCTCAGAGTTTATTATATTATAGTAAAATTTAATTTGACGTATGGTATGTTTATGTTTGCGTAATTATTATGAATGCAACACATTATCAAGTCAGTGATATTGGAATATTCACAGACCCAATACCCCAGGTCAGTGCCCTAACAATAATTAAAAAAAAACTAATTATCATGAAAGCAATACATAACGAAGTACAGAGCCGGGACAATATTGTAAACAAATTTGCGTAATTAGAAAAGCAGTGCATTAAGTAAACGACGTTCAAGTTGATATATTCAAGCCAGTACAGAGTTGCATACAAGTTCCGGATATAATAACAATTTTACTAGTTTGACGCGCGGGGTACGAAAGAAAAAAAGGTTGCTAAGGTAACGCGCCAGTTCAGTGCGTGACTTGGGGTCAAACTTCGGTCAACACACACTTGATGTCAGCATCGCCGCGCAACAAGTTTCGCAAAAATGTACTTGAAGTTCAATTGCGTCCAAAAATGATGTCGCTGATCACTCAGTTATCGCAGCGTGTGTTGTGTCATATCCATGATGCACCCCGTTTCGACTTTGGCTTGCTTTTCCTTCTTAGTGATGCGACCTCTCACCAATGTATTAAAACATTTTGAATTTATACTTTGCATGATTATATTTGGTCAACGCGAAACATTATTTTTTCTAAACATTTTCTGAGACCATTTTTATCAACGCAGGGTTATTTATTTAGATGGGCTTCGTAATATCTGCCATAACATCGCCCGGGCGATGCCTCGAAAAATAAAAAAAGGCAGTGCAGCCAGACGGCTACTTTGTAGCCACGTGTTCATTGTTTGTTTGTGTACAGAGTGACCTTTGTCATTTCACTGTTTCATTTCAAGTGTAACATGGTGCGTGGTCCTTGACGCAGTGCGTGTTCTCTGCACGACTAAACGCCATGAATGTCGCTAGCCACGAGTCTCAGAGGCACTAAAAAAACGTCCTGTAATCGTGTTCATTGGAAAACAAAACAAATCACTAATAAATTTATGAAAACAGCTCCTTTTTGAATCGATCAAAAAGTACTCTTAATTCGCTCAACAAAAATCAATTATTTCCGTTTTTACGCTATTAATTCATGCACTTGAAAAAATAATTATTTTTACTACCGCAAATTAATAGAGTTTTTATGGTATAAATACATGCACATTTTCTACAAATCAAGGGCAAATAAAAGTAATATGATGATAGTTCTTACCTGTGACTCAAGCACAGCTATAAGTTTATAATATTCAGTAAGTTCTTGTTGTAATGCAGAACAAAAACTCTAGAAATAATAACAAAAAAAAACAACACTTACTTATAAACTATACCGGTACATGTATTACACATTTAAATTATGTTATAAGCATGCTTGTACAAAATAGAATTTTGGTAGATTTTCTTTTGCCATGTTTTACTATATGAAAACAAATACACCCATTTA